TTGACAATATCTAACTCACACTTAAGGAATACGTATGGCTGTCAGCGTGGAGAACAATAGCGTAGTATCCAAGCTACAAATTGGAAACTTCAAGATCAAGATTTTTCAAGAAAGATTATCTGGGAAATGATTTAATAGACAACAAGAAATGTGGCATCGAAATCTGAAGTCGCATTGGAATAACAAATGGTTCATTGCCATAATTAGGCAATGTATTAAGAAACTGAAATTATCTCGTTAAAAACAAACAAAATTATTGAACTCCCATGTAGTATCAATACTTCAATAGGGCAGTGAATGCGAGATATTCACCTCACAGAGGGGTGTAATTAGACGGAAACACAATTGAGAAAGACTTATATTCTTAGATCTTGAGTTCACGCTGCAGAAGCCCGACCATATAGATACACATCTACATCTTTGCTATCAAACTCTCCAGTGATACTCTACAGGGGCGGCTCTCGAGTCAGATGCTTCTCTTTGACATTTCATATGCGGCTCGTGGAAATAAGTTGGCTAAGCTCCTTTTTTCATCACTGTAAATTTTCACATCAGTCTTAGCATTTCCAAATTATAATAAAAAAGATGGAATATTTATTCTGCTTTCGAAAATGTAGTTCAGATATTCTTTAATTTTGTTTTGTTTTTGGATAACCGAAATGTTAAAATATTTATTGGAAAACCAGGTCCTCAGATAAAATTTATATCAGACAGAATTTGATGTATTGTTTATTATTTTAAAATACCATTTACAATGTTTTTTAATGACTAATACATAAAATAACGTCTCTAGACTAAACTCAGCCTAATAAAATCTTTTGTAACAAAATCCGTTATATTATATAATCGAGAGTTTGCTGTAATTTTGTGTAGAGTTCATGAAAATGTGTCAGTATTTCATTGTTAGCTAAAAAAAAAAAACGTCGTCACAACCGGTGCAGGGAAAACAATTCAAGTAATGAATAACAAGTGAGAAAGCCTCTTGGAAAAAATGTTTATCGCCGATTCCTTGATATCGGGTTACATACGGCACGGATGCTGAAGAGGAAAAAAACAATATGAAACACGAAAAATAAATAAAGGAACACAACAACAACCAAAAAAAAAAAAAAAAAAAGAGAGAAAGAAATAAAGCAAGAGAATCATTTAAAAAAAAGAAACAAAAAAAAAGAAACAAAAAAAAATGACTAACCAGAAAATTAAAGCATTTTCGACTTGTAGCGTCAAACAAAATCGTTAGAAGAATTTTCTTAGGAGCATAAAGCAATTGATCGAAAAATAAAGCCTGGAAAACGTCTCTCGGAGGGAAGTGATGAAGGAAAAAGGAAGAAGAAAGAATTAAAGAAAGAAAGAAAGAAAGAAGGAAACAAAAGGTAAAACGTCTATCGGAGAGAAGTGATGAAGGAAAAAGAAAGAAAGAAAGAAAGAAAGAAAGAAAGAAAAGGAAAACGTCTATCGGAGAGAAGTGATGAAGAAAGAAAGAAAGAAAGAAAGAAAGAAAGAAAGAAAGAAAGAAAGAAAAGGAAAACGACTATCGGAGAGAAGTGATGTAGAAAGAAAGAAAGAAAGAAAGAAAGAAAGAAAGAAAGAAAGAAAGAAAGAAAAAGAAAACGTCTATCGGAGAGAAGTGATGGAGAAAGAAAGAAAGAAAGAAAGAAAGAAAGAAACAAACAAAAAGTAAACGTCTATCGGAGAGAAGTGTTGAAAGAAAAAGAAAGAAAGAAAGAAAGAAAGAAAGAAAGAAAGAAAGAAAGAAAGAAAGAAAAAGAAAACGTCTATCGGAGAGAAGAGATGAAGGAGAAAGAAAGAAAAAGAAAACGTCTATCGGAGAGAAGTGATGAAAAAAAAAGAAAGAAAGAAATAAAGAAAGAGAGAAAAAGAAAACGTTTATCGGAGAGAAGTGATGAAGGAAAATGAAAGAAAGGTAGAAAGAAAGAAAAAGAAAACGTCTATCGGAGAGAAGTGATGAAGGAAAAAGAAAGAAAGAAAGAAAGAAAGAAAGAAAGAAAGAAAGAAAGAAAGAAAAAGAAAACCTCTATCGGAGAGAAGTGATGAAGGAAAAAGGAAGAAGAAAGAAAGAAAGAAAGAAAGAAAGAAAGAAAGAAAGAAAAAAAGAAAACGTCTATCGGAGAGAAGTGGGTGAAGGAAAAAGAAAGAAAGAAAGAAAGAAAGAAAGAAAGAAAAAGAAAACGTCGATCGGAGAGAAGTGAGGAAGGAAAAAGAAAGAAAGAAAGAAACAAAGAAAGAAAGAAAGAAAAAGAAAATGTTTATCGGAGAGAAGTGATGAAGGAGAAAGAAAGAAAGAAAGAAAGAAAGAAAGAAAGAAAAAGAAACGTCTATCGGAGAGAAGTGATGCAGGAAAAAGAAAGAAAGAAAGAAAGAAAGAAAGAAAGAAAGAAAGAAATATGAACGAAAACGTCTATCGGTGAGAAGTGATGAAGGAAAAAGAAAGAAAGAAAGAAAGAAAAAAGAAAGAAAGAAAGAAAGAAAAAGAAAACGTCTATCGGAGAGAAGTGATGAAGGAAAAAGGAAGAAGAAAGAAAGAAAGAAATAAAGAAAGAAAGTTTTAAAAGGGGAAAAATAACGTAAGGCGTATATCGGAAAGAAATAATGATGGAAAATGAAGACAGGAAGGGAGGAAGGTAGGAAAAGAACGGAAGAAAGAAAGAAATAGTGAAAAGGAGAACATCCCACTGACAGCAGTAATAAAAAAGCAATACAGAAAGAATGACTGAAAGAAAGAAATAATGAAAGAAAAAGAAAGAAAAAAAAAAGAACAAAAACAGAAGAAAGAGAAAAATTATTCATTGGAGAGTAGAAATAAAGAAAGAATGAAAAGAAAACGAGGACGTGGCAGAATGAAAGAAAGAAAACGAGAATGAAAGAGGAAAAAGAAAGAAAACAAGGAGGAAGGAGAAAGAAAGAATCAGTAAAAGAAAAGAAGGTTTGCAACAAATAAGGCTAAAAGGATTTGCTTACAATGATGAAGTCGGACAGAACCGATCATAATTTTTTGAAAGAGCCGGATACAGAAAATTGGTGAAGAGCGTTCAACAAGATTCCCAAAAGATTCTCCTCGCTTTTTGAATTTAGAATTGACTTTCCCCTACACCAAGTGCCACACAAGGCTATATGAACCAGTCTGTCATGCTATTTACTGAAAGCTAAAGATTCACACTTTTTCCCAAGAATATTTGACCGTAATTAATGAACTCGACTGGAATTTGAACTCATATCTGCGATTTCTTAATCCGAGCCGCTAGACACACACACACACACACACACACACACACACATATATATATTAATTTAAATATGTGGTGCAGTTTAATTTACACGAAAAGTGAATTAGTAAAACTAATGACACAAAATTGCGAAATCACTTCACTAACTAAATTTTAAACATGCATTAACCTACCAATCACTCGATGAATGTTGTGATCCTTGTTTTTTTAAATTATAAATTGTATTAAGTCTTCCTTAAATATGCAAGCACTTTCGACGGGTCCTCCGGTCATCATCAGGCATGGAAACTATTTTGTTTTTGGTAAAACTCAGGTAGCATCCGTGATGAAAAAATATAATACAAATCGAAATATGTTTTTTGAAGTGTGTTATTGATAACGGGTGCAAACTTGTGGAGCGTGCAGTCGCAACGCTAACGTTGAATTTTTGAAAATTTAAGTGAAAGCGTTTTTTTTTTACTAATATGACAATTTAAGAATTTTTGTTGTTGTAGGAGTTTAACAGTCAACGTGGCAAATAGTTCAATAAGTAGAGCAATGTCTCAGTTGTTATCCCGAAAATTTGCACGTCGGATCAGTTCTTTTAAATCAAATATGAGGCTCAGTTTAATTTATGTTAAAATGAATCAATGGATACAGTTTATAATATTAAAAAACAAGGATCATAGCATTCATCGAGGGGTTAGTGGGTTAAGGCATATTTAAAATTTAGTTAGCGAAGTGATTTCGCTATTTTATATCGTTAACTTTACTAATTTATTTTTTTCCATAAATTATTCATTGTAATATATATATATATATATATATATATATATATATATATATATATATTTATCGAGTGTAACAGGAAAATAGTCCAATTAGATGAAAATTAACCGTTTATTTTTAGAAATGACTAGCAGTAGAGCCCGGTGTTACCTGGGATGTAACAGTATGAGATAGATCAAGTATCGACCATCATGAAGACTGAAAAATAAAATTGACAAAGATTATTGTTTAGGGTTGACGGACACGCATGTCTTAATTAGTTTTATTTATTTATTTTTTTTTTTTTACGAATTGGTCAAAATCAAACTCAACCAAAAACATTGTTTTCAATCGTTATGAGTCTCCCGATTGAATAGAATTTTATTATAAATAATTGTCTTGTAAATGGAATTTTTAAAGCATTCTGAATGTAAAAATAAAGAAAAAAGTGTGCACGACAATAAGAAACACTACCTGCCAAAAAAAAGTGAAGTTTTGTTGAAATTGGTTGAAAAATGTAGGAAATCCGATTCCATATATAAACGAACACACACACACACACACACACACACACACACACAAAACTGGGTTTTATAATAAGTATAACTCGATATGAGTTGTTCCCCTTCCATTCCGCGAAAGCGATGCCACTTAATCGTGTTTTCAAATTGATTTCGTTAAAAAACAATTGGTTTTTCCAATTTTGGGCGCTGTCAGAACCCCCGCAAGGTAATTTTACGTAGTTCTGTGAAGTTTTGTTGAAATCGGTTGAAAAATGTAGGAAATCCGATTCCATATATAAACGAACACACACACACACACAACCTGGTTTTTATAATAAGTAAGATTAAAGATATGTTACTGGAATTCTCCGAGGATTTTTACGGCACTATTGGTCTCTACTTTGAGCAATAAGAATGTATAATTACTCTCTTAAGCTTAACAGAAGAATCGTGATGAAATCGATCATAAACAAAAATGACATGTTCATCATTACATAATCATAGCTACGGATCAGAAGCTCATGAAGGATTAAAATTAAGTTCATATATATATATTGCCTTAACTTTCTGTCTTGGAGCAACAAGGTGCTTCACATGTTTCACGTACCATTTCATTTTCAAGTCTTTTTTCAATGTTCTTTGGACTGTCATAGCTGAAACTCATCTCTCACGTACCAAACGTCTTACGAATTGAGTTGGATCTTTTCTAATTGATCTCTTTAGTTCTAAGTTGAAATGATGATCCCTCTTCCTTGTGACCTCCTGATTCAGTTTCCATCTCTACTGTTATCTCTTTTTTTAAACTTATTCACCGTTCCCTTGATGGTTCTTGTTAAGAGGTCCACCCCTTTTTATACAAGTAGACTCGCCCAGTTTGTACTTGTACTGCTGCTGGTAAATACCCGGCAGTGACAGTGATACAGTGATACAGTGAGAGTGTGAGGTAACCGCTTTGTAGGAGTCACAGTTGCGAGCACGTAGACTGAGAAGGAAGTCATACTTCGATACTGAATTTCCCAGACTGTATATATATTATTATTGCTACCAACCGCATTTCTGGATCTACTAACCGTATTACCAATTGTATTATTACGTCAATACATTTATTTGCTATATTTCAGTCCTGCGTTTGTCATTCATTTGAGATCGGATTTCATCCCGGAATCCACAACAGTTCTTGAATGGACTTTGAAGGATGGAAGCCAGAGTATGAATGTTGGTACCATTACTGAAGGCCTGAATGATCTTTTTCCTCTCACTATTACTCAGTTGGAAAGACAGTCGGTTTAACGCAAAACAACTGCTCTCTTTTTAGCTGAATAACTCAAAGGGTTTTACAGGGATGCTAACGAAAATTGGCATCAAGATAGGTAAACGTCTTATCTGAAAATCCGGAAAAAGAAACTCAATTAGTTGAGAAGTATTTTCAGATATTAAACATTTTGTGGGACAGATAATTATGTTCTCACACGATTTGGACAATTTTGATGTTACATCCGCTAGATGTAACGCGATACCTCAGGTTTTAAATGGATTTTTACAAATGGAAAAAACCTTCTTGAAGCTATTATTTTGTGTTTAATTTCAAGCAAATAGATTAAATATAATATTTCTAATAAGCAAAATATTTTGCTGTATTTCATAATTAATTTAATTTGCTCGGAATTAGGATTTTTATTTTTTGAAAATGCCCGGTTTTAGTCATATTTACAATTCTCTTATTACTAAGATATTCTCTTTAAAAAAAAATAACAGACTAATAATGAAAAAAAAAGAAAGAAAGAAGAAATGATTAATAAAAATAGAAAAAAATAAATGGGGAATTCAAAACAGATACGTAAACAAATCACACCAAAAATATCATTGAGGATAAGGAAAACACCATCAGCTTACAAAAAATAAATGCAAAAACTGTGAACTCTGTCTGGAGGAAAAATTGCTATAATTACCTTCCCAGACCAAAACAAACTACTAAATAAACGATCAGAACTCATCATAAAATGCTGACACGAAAAAATTCGAAAACTAAAGTCGAAAACGATGACAAAAATAAAAATAAATAAGTAAAATAATATAAGCAAAAATCTAAATCAATAAATAAGTAAACAAATGAAGTAAATGATAAACACATTAACAAACTACGGATGGACACATAGACACAAATAATTACAATAGTAATAATAAACAAGAAATAATAAATTAATAATAAATACTGAATAAAAAAATAAACAAAAAACACTATAAAATCGTCACAAATAATATCATTCGGATCCACAATTATTTCTACTAAAGCGTCTGTAGAATAAATCGAAAGATATCCGTTACCGTCCAACCAATAGCTAGCAGGATAATACAATAGACATACTACCCATAGTGCACCACGACCCAGCATATATAAATAGTCGAGTGGAATAAATAGATATGTAAGTACACCAGTAAATGAATTTATTTTAACCAAACAAATATTATTGATAATAATAATAGAGACCCTTGTAAATGGACTTAATTCAGTGGTTGATAGTAATGTCATTGATCGAGCATTATGCAGTGAAAGTTTCAGATCAACATTCAGATAACGGCCTCAGAATTTTCCTATAACTACGGGTGCGTGTTTGTGTATGCATGCAAGTATGTAAGTGTACAATATATGTTGTGTACTCATGTATGTATGTAAGTGTACAATATATGTTGTGTACGTATGTATGTATGTAAGTGTACAATAGTATGTTGTGTACGCATGCATGTATATAAGTGAACAATATGTTTTGCACGCATGCATGCATGTAAGTGCAAAATATATGTTGTGTACTCATGCATCTATGTAAGTGTACAATGTTTGCTTTGTACGCATGCATGTATGTAAGTGTACAATATATGTTGTGTACGCATGCATGTATGTAAGTGTACATTGTATGTTGCGTATGCATATACGTATGTAAATGTACAATGTATGTTGTGTACGCATGTATGCATGTAAGTGTACAATGTATGTTGTGTACGCCTGC